CCAGTTGTTACATCAAATAATAAGAAGAAAGATTCATCATCTGATTCTGATTCATCAGATGATGATAAGAGCAAAATAAAACCAACAATTTCAGCTAGTAAACCGGCTCCTACACCAACAATAAAGAAGCCTGCTAGCTCAAGCAGTAGTAGTGATTCAGACGATGATACAGTTGCTAATAAAAAATCAATACAACAAACCTCATCTGTGAAAAGTACGATTTACCGTGTTTCGAAACGTTTCTGTAGAAACCTATATGTTTCTAATTTGTTTTAGCTTCTACTACACCTGTCACTCCATCAATTACAAAAAATTCTGTTGTATCAAATAATACCAATAAGAAGAAACAAGAAACATCTTCTTCTGATTCATCTGATGAAGATGAAAAGAAACAACCAACTATACCAAAGGTAGCTACACCTGTTCAATCGATCAAACGTAAAGCGCCTTCATCAAGTAGTTCCAGTTCAGATTCAGATGATGTTGCATCATCAGCTAATAAAAAACAAACACCATCAATACCAAATAAAAGTATTGTTTTTTTTTTGTTCTTAATATTTGTCTTCTATACGTTTAATATTTTATTTATAGCTAATGTCACTCCAGTCGTCAATAAAGCTGCTGTATCATCACCAGCAAAACTTTCCAATAATAAGAAAAAAGATTCATCATCTGATTCTGATTCATCTGATGAAGATAAAAACCCAAAACCATCAGTCGTACCTGCTAAATCAGTACCAACTGCAAAATCTAGTCAACAATCATTAAAAAAAGCTGCTTCATCAAGTAGTAGCAGTGATTCTGATGATAATAAACCAACAACAAATAAAAAATCTCTTGCCAATGGTTTGTATAATCAAAGAGTCCTATCGGATAAGATGATCATCCTTAATATGAAAAGGTACCTATACCGTTTTGTAGAGCAACTCTTCCCGCATTGAGTGGTATATGTAGGAGATTATTTTTTCATCAAGTTTTAATGTTCTACACAAAGCCATTTATCAGTCAAGGATATTATAGCGATTGTGTATTATATGGTTAAATGTTAGGAGTCAGTATGTCTTCAAACTAACTTATATTAAATTTCGTTTAAAGTTACTTCAATAGAGTTTTGCCTTGTGTTCAATTGTATATATATAATAATACTCATAATAGCTTTTTTCGTATCAAAAACCATAGTATTTTTCCTAGCTTCTGTAGTTTTTTGGCTTTAATAATACTTTAAATTCTTCTATACGGCTTCTGAAGGAAGAGGTAACCAACCGTGTAACTTTCTCATTAATTGTGTAACGTCAAGCTCCATAAGTATACTAATTGATTGTCGTCTGAATTGATGTATGTCATTACCAAATCGGTCATTCAATGCCGATTTTTCGATTCCTTCAAGGCAAAAAAGTATATGAATTTTATGATAAATACTTTTTAAGTGAAAAATTTTCTATCTATTAATAATAACTTCATTATGTTCTATCATTTGACATTGAGGGATCTTTTGATAATGGCAAAAATATTTTTTACTTTCGAAACGTTGGAGGACGGGGGAGGGGAGGGTGCGAAGGTATGCAAAATTTTTAATCTGTATAAGCGACCGAACATATGTTGAATCTAATAAAGCTTCATACTCTAATTCCACTCGACTACTCAAAATCTAAATTCGTAAGGAACAAAATAAAATAAAAACTAATCTTTGTAATAGTTCATTTCCGTGCCCTCTCTCCAAGGATCTGAAAGTCAGAAATCTTTTGCCACTTTGGAAAGATTTATAAATGTCAAATGATAGAATATGATGAACTTATTATAAATAGATAGAAAGTTTTTCACGAAAAAAATATTTATCGTAAAATTCGTAGATTTTTCTTTCTTGAAGGATTCGAAAAATAGGCATTGATTGATCGTTTTAGCAATGATACACATCAATTCAGACGACAATCAATTATTATACTAGTGGAGCTTTGTGATACACAATTAACAAGAAAGTCACAAGGTTTGTTGCCTTTGCCTTCAGGCACAAAATAGATGAATGTAAAGCTTCATTAAAGCCAAAAATGACACAATCTAGGAAAAATGTTAAGGTTTTCGACATGTAAAAAGCTATTGTGAGTATTATTTGATATACGTGACTGAAGATGAGACAATGGTCTGCCTGAAGTGACTGTGAACAAAATTTGATATAGGTACATTTGAAGATATACTGACTCCTAACATTTGGTCATATCACCTACAATTTCTATAATATTTCTTTAATTAGTATATGGCTTCTAGGAACAATAAAACTTCACGAAAAAGTAATTTCCTATATACCATTCGATGCAAGACGAGTTCGTCTACAAAACGGTTTAGGTGACTTTGGAAACGAAGATTGGTTATCTTATCCGACAGAATCTTTTTTAATTGTATTTTCTATTTTAAATCAATCAATTTTCTTTCATTCAGGTTCAGCTATAACCAAACCATCTGTTACATCAGTCAATGGTAATAGTGCTGTAAAACGTAAAGCATCATCATCATCATCAAGTAGTGATTCCGAAGAGGAAAAACAATCTAATAATGTATCTGTTAATAATACAATAAAAACAAATAATGATGAAGTTAGTTCTTATCTCTTATCTTTTTTTATTTTTATTTTGAATATTTATTTAGATGACTGTTTCAAAAGATAATGGTAAACAAAAAGTTCGTATGATTCATTAAATATTATTATAAAATATAATTTTCAAATTTTATAGCGTCAATCATCACCATTTCGACGTGTTCGTGAAGAAGATGCTGATCAAAATTATCTACAAAAAATTGGTAAAAATGCATTTGAACACAAAGTAAAAGGCTTTTTTTCTTATTTTTAAAGTTTAATTTTTATGTATTAACATATTTTATATAGGCTGGTGCACGTGGTTCATGGGGTGAAAAAGCCAATGCTGATTTAAAAAATACTCGTGGTAAAAGTTTTCGTCATGAAAAAACTAAAAAGAAACGTGGTTCATATCATGGTGGTAAAATTGATTCAGTTAATTCGTTTTCAATAAAATTTGATGATTCGGATGACTAATCGAAAAAAAAAGAAAAAGCTAAAAGAAAATTTTCGTGTGTGTTTGTTGATTCATTGTTACGTTTGTTTTTTGACGTAAATAAAAGAAAAGAAAGAAATACAGAAAATAATAAATAGAAAATAAAGTTACTTGAGACTCATTTACGTGTCATTTAATGAATCATTGTAAGTTATGCAACAAGAAAAGGATACACAAGAAGAATTTTATTTTGATTATGTTCGATTACTTGTTGAAAATCGAATGCTTCATCGATCAGGTTATTATTTGGGTGCATCAAATCAATTTGTTCGTATATTTACATTAACCGGTCGTCGATATTGGCTTGCACAAGCTACTAGTGAACATATTACAGCCGATTGGAAAATACATTTTTCAATTCGACCTCGTGATATTTCTTTAGCATTTAATCTTCTATCAGAACTCTATTATGATATGAAATTACCTATTGGTCTTAAAGCTCGATATCCAGATAACTGGAAAGATTTTGAAAATGAATGGCCTCAACATATGTCGGGACGTGAAATCACTGTTTATATACTTCTCTATGAAAATACATTAAAAATTCATCAAACAATGCTTTATTCTAGTAATAATTTATCGCAACCAATAACTATGATTGATTGGATATTGTCAAATACAGAAGATATATATTCAATGCATGATTTAACACCTAAAGACGAAATTCCACTTGATCGATATCTTGATTATGCTAATCGAGCTGAAAAATTACTTGAACAATATCGAATTGAACCAAATGGATGTGCTATTGGTGATTATCCCATTGGAAAATATTCATCATTACGTAATGAAAAATTTGTTGCTATTGAAGATCATGAACATGATGAAAAAATACGACTCATTTATCCACCAAATGAATGTGGTTATAATGGTTCAAAAGATAGACGAGATTTAACAAAAGAAATAATTGATTTGAAAACATATCGAAAACGTAAAAGACAAAATAAAATAATCAAAATTTTATTTACAATAATAATTGTTTTTCCAGTAATTTTTTTTATAAATAAATTAATATTTTAATAAAACAACAAAAAAAAGAAAAAGAAAAAAACATTGAATTAAATTATTATATGTTCAAAAAATACGTACTTCTAACAACGATACTAACACCTTGAATCAGTTAATTATCATTTGTCACATATACATATATATATATATATATTTAAATGTAAAATAGACAACTATATATTTTGATTACAATAATGTTTCTTTAATTGGTACAAAATGGATATTGTCAGTCGGATGGTGTGATCATAATGAATATTCTAACCAATGTCCTCCAATTATGAATCAGGTATGTGTAAATCGATGTATACATGGCAAGCCAGTGGAGCGGACCATTTCTTTTTACAAGATTCATCGTTGTCTTTATATACAAGCAGAAAAATGAAGCGAGAGACTAGGTAGATGTGAGTCGACTATGTTAAAATACGTTGTTGCGATACGGTTCATAGATTGTGTATATACGCTATCGTTGTTCACTGTAAAAAAAAGAGAAACAGAGACAGAGAATGTGGGTGTCTTTTTTTTCATATGATCATCTAGTTCATTCGATAGAGAAGAAAAATTAACATAAGTTTAAAAAATCACCGCTCTTTAACTTTTCGCGAAATTTTAAAGCTTAGTTTGTTTTTGAAGAGCATTTTAACTATTAATTATGCAACAAGGTCCTACACTGCCAAAGCCAGCACATTATCCTCCACCTTATCAACAATATCCTATGGCTCCAACATTATCAACGTCGTCATCATCATCACTTCTTATACCACAATATTCATCGACGCATAGCCCTCAATCAGTAAAGCGTATTGATACTGCTGTATATGGATCCAATATAACATCATTGAAAAATTCAAAAATAATAAATAATTTATCGTCATCATCATCGCGTTCAAATAATATTGATTTACGCCGTTTAATTTTACTTAATTTACCTACTGATCTTGTTCGAGAATATCTCGAACTTTATATCGAACATTTATCAGGTGAAGCTGAAATAGAACGAATTGATTATTCTAATCTTGAAGAAACAACTGCAATGGTTACTTTTAAAACAGAACTTGGTTAGTTTAGAGAAAAAAAACAAGAAGTTTTGTTTTTAAAAATAAATAATAAATTTATATTTATTAAGATATGGCGGAAGTACGTCGTCGTCATGGAATGCGTCCAAAATTAAATGATTCTGAAATTTCTTTAGTTGAAGTTATACCACCAGCAACTGTAATGATACGAAATTTACCATCAGATATATCGCGTGATGTACTCGAATTATATTTTTCAAATCGACGTCGTAGTAATGGTGGACAAGTGATTGATGTTGCATTTGAAGATGATCATCAACATGCACTCGTCACATTTGCTGATTATAAAGGTTTTCAAAAAAAAAAAATCTGATTTTTCAAGTTTTTTGTTTTTTTTTT